AATGCATCAAGATCGCCAATTCTTTCTTCGGCCATGTCTGGTCTCCTTTGACAGCCTATCAAAGGCATCTCTTTGTTTCTGTTCACTTTGATTTCTGTAATTTCCCCTTGATCCTTTCTTAGAGTTTTCATCCCTGTCATTAAACTACCCATCTGTTCTAGAACGTTGTCTTCTTTCCCGTTGAGCCCTCAGCATACCCATTGTGGATGTAGCACATTCCCAGGCGGACAGCTCCAGCATCTGTAGCACATCTGGGTCTGCTTTGTCTCCTCAGACCGCGGTTCTGTTGCCTGTTGGCATGCCTGCCAGTAGTTTTCTTGGAAGCTGGAAATGATACATCTGGTAACAGGGGCTGAGGAAGTCCAGCTTTTCGTGTGAGTGTTACGTGGCTCTGCCTGGAGCTGGGCTGCGTTCAGTGGCTGCCCCCGCGCCTGGGGTCCGGTTCCCTTGTTGGTTTGCTGTTTCCCTTCCGGACGTCTTTGGGTTCCCTACACCCTCCTTCTTAAATAGAGTCTGCATTTTTCAGCTCTTTCATTTGTAACCTTCCGCCATCACACCAGAGCCTGGTTGGCGCTGAGGTGTTGGGGAGGGCAAGGGTTTCGGGGCCTTATGACTACATTCAATTTTTTTTAGCTGGCCTGAGTTCTGGAGTTGGGACTTTCAGAAGTGGCTTTGACCTTTTTATCCCCCCTCACTGAGACAAGAGGGCTGGAGGCCGGGAAGGCAGTGGGAACACAGCTTCCTTGGAGGGTGGGCTTTCTTACTGAGAACAGAAGCCTCGGGGATATCTGATTATTCCCCTGCCCCCTGTCCTTCCCTGATGGATCATTTCCCTCCCAGTCTCGGCCTCCGATCTTCATCCTGAGACCCAGCTGGGAGAAAGGCTTCAAAAGCCTGGGCCCCCCAGGGAGATGTTTCAGCTCTGAAATCAGCCCCCAGAAGGCCACCTGCTGCCGTGTGGGTCCAACCAGCTCCTGGCCCGCAGCCCCCGCTCCCCGTGAGCTGATCCCAGTTGTGATTCTCCGCACCTCCCGTCGTCTCCCCAGTCGTCAGGGTGGCTGTTTGCCTCGGGACCTCGATTCTGCACTAGACCCAAGTTGTTGATTTTCAGTTTGCTCATTTTACTTTCATACGGTGAGGACTGGAGTGATGACCTTCAAACTCTTTTTATGCTGGAGAAGGTGAAGCTGGGAGTCTCAGTGTATTCTGATACCTGGTGCCACGCCAGACTGGCAGGTGCTTCCCCTGTGGGAGGAGAGGGATCCTCACCACTGGCCCCAGTTCCTTGCTGGTGACGTGCCTTGCGCCGCCCTTCCTTTCTGTCCTGACCGAGCGGTGGTCTTGCACAGGCTGGTTACCGCGTGGCCTTGCCGTAAAACCTTCTGTAGGCATAACTCCACCTCTGTGCGTCCCCAGCTGAGCCAAGCGCCAGCCCTAATCCAAAGGCCGTGGGATCTGTCCTGGCTGTGTCTGTGTGTGGCCCGAGGTGTGTGACATGAAGTGCGAGAGTCAGGATGGTCACCAAGGTCAAGCAGCTGGTTCGGTGGGCAGGCTGCGCTTGGGTGTGAGCGGAGGACGTGGAGTGGCTGAGAGTTGTGACTTTGATCTGAATGTCGACTGTGCCATCAGGGGGACCTCACGCAGGCTCCTGTCCCCAGCTTCTCGTGGCTCCTGCTTGGTGCCCACACGACGTCCTGGGCAGCACAGTCCCCAAGCTACAGGGCCTGAGGGCATCCGCCCAGCCCCCTCCCAACAGCGTCCTGCCCCGTGGCCTGCGCGATCTGTGAAAGAAAAGACCAGCTGGTGCCGTTCACCCTGCTCCACACCTCCGAGCTTCCCCTAAACTAAAACCGAGGCGCCGGCCCCTCGTGGACGAGGCCTGGGCTGCTGTGGTACTTCCTCCCGGGCCCCCGGGTGCTCACCTGCTGGGTGGCCCTGTTCCGGCCGTGTGGCCTTCCTGCTTCTCAGCCTGTGCAAGCTCTTCCTGGGTGCTCCTAGGCCTACCCTCTCCCTGGGCCGGCGGCTCCTCGCACGACCCCCTTCAGCAC